AACCCCGACTGAACCAGCCGCAAGCGTTAATCATTCATCATCATTGGTATGTTAAGACTTCATTGTATATTTTATTTTATTCATTGTTAGAATATATCTTGTTGTTGTTATAAACGAGAGTGATTTCCAATCCCTCCCGTTCCATATCCTAATTCTGTATATCATCGGTAAGTTTAGACAGGGCGTGCTTTAGCACCTTAAAAGAGCCAGGACCCGAAAATATAAATAAAGTAACGACCGCAACGCGGGACGTAACAAGTATCTTGATAGAGTCGATTCGTGGCAGAAATCCATTTACGTCCCATTGAATAATGTCGAACATAATGTATCTGAGGTTGGTTAATGTGGTTAGAATGGGTTTATCGTAGGTTCAGTTGGGTGGCAATTTGCTTAGGTTCGTTATCCGATTCATAATCCGTAGAAGCAGGGGTAGATGTACTACCCATGGTGTATGGGTCATTTAGAAGTATTTCAGGTAGGTCTTTTTTTATTTTTTTGCAGATTCCATGGAGCCTATTCTTGATGCTGCGCTCTTTTAGTGTAGGGTAGATCTTTGTTATCATTTGGTGGAGGGCTTGTATATCTTGGGTGTAGTTTCGGGCCACTTCTAATACGTTCTCTACGCCAAACACGTTTTCAAGAAAACTTTGGAATTGTATGAAGTTTAGTGGGAAGTTGTTTGTTTCATTCTCGATGGTATTTTTTGCGCGTTCCAGCATTTCACCAATTTTCTCGATTGCAATGTCAAGTGATTTGGGACGTTTAGGCTTTTTGTATTGAGGTCCGTTGCTGCGAGGTTTTTCATTGGTGGGATTAGTTGGGAGACGATTTAATTGTAGGATAGTTTTGAGGTTGATTAGAGATTGCCTTGGTTTGTCAGCTTTCTCGGGGTTGTGGTTATGTTCAGAGTTACTATCTGATGTTGATAGAGGTCTTTTGTTGGTGGTTGGGGGAAGCTCTTCTGGCTGGTTAGTTGTTTTTTCGTTACTCGTGGAGGGCGGGCTGTATATTTCACTGGGATTACTTACAGTCGTTGAGGCAGATGTTTCCTTGTTTAGTGTTGCTTCATTGCATGTTTGGTTGGTGTTGGGGCACTGCTTAGCGACGTGTCCTTCATGTCCGCAGAGAAAACAATTCAACTTGTCTGAGTTCACAAAAATTCTATACTGGGTGTTGTCGTATGTGATTACGAATGAATTTGGAATTTTAGTTATATCTTCTGGGTTTATGTATATTGAGCGTCTGAAGCTTAGTATGTGTGTTAAATCAGGTTCTTGAATGCCAACTTTGATGGAGGAGAGTTTTGAAGTCATACGGATATTGTTTTGTCTGAAGATATTCTCAATATGGTCATGTGGAATTGAGGGGCAGACATTGGACAGTATTAGTCTCTGTGATGGAGTGATTAGAGGCCTTAGTTCAACTTTACGATTATTGATTGTTATATCTTTGTATTTTGATGTCAAGTGGGTGACTATTTGTTTAGATTCCAAGTAGGTACATATTCTGCCGTTTGAAATTCTTGAAATGTAGAGTATCTCTATGGGTTTAACTATTTTTGCAAGAGCAATCGCATAATCTTTAATGGATAATCCTTCAATTGATTCTAGTACTATTGCTTGTTCTTTACGGGGAAAGAGATTGTTTGTTGCTGCTGCCGCGTAGGATTGCATATTCGGTTGGTCTCCCTGAGTCCTCTGAGTCCGGATCCCTGTACTCAGAGATCCCGTTATTTTGCTCCCTATCGTTCATACGATATTGAGCACGTGGCTTCAGTGATTTACAGACACCAGCACTTGGTATTATGGCACTCGCGATTGTATACAAATACGTCCGCACCGCTCGACTGTCAACACGAGACTCTACAATGTACATTGTTTTCCTCGAGGTGCAGGGAAAAAATTGTGCGGACACGTGTAAGTTGACGCTGCTTGGCCCTGGCCGACCACCCTTGTAGAGGCCGGAGCGGAATTTTCGGTTATTTATGGCTCAAAATCTTCAGCCTCGTAGCAACCGTGAACTCACAACAGAATTGACAATCGACAATTTTATAACAACTCTGTGAAATTGTAGATCTCATGAAAATATTTCATACGTATTCTTCTTTAGAATTCCGTCAAATATCTCGGAAATTATTAGAAATATAAAAACCGTATAATTTGCAATATTGTGTTTGTTTTGACATTGAATGTAGCTATGTCATTGAATTCCAGAATAATGCTTTTCTTTAAACAATCTTTCGCCGACTCCTGACAGTACGCGGTGCAGGTAAATCCAAAAAAATACTACCGTATTCGTTGAACTCTTTTCCGTAAATCATTGACACTTTTGTAATAGTCTTATAACACTAACCGAACTTGCCG